GCAATTTTGAAAACAAATTAATATATGACCAAAATTCATAAAAATCTACCAAGAAACTGAGCAAAATGAGGTAAAAACTTACAGAATTAAAGACCAAATTTTAAAAGAACTAACAAATTTAAGAAAAACTTCGGCAATTTCTCAGCATAGTTTAAAAAATCTGGCCGCGTCAAACATTTTGTATCAACTACGATAGATATCAGCTACTATGATATGGAAAATCAAATACATTCAGTAGAAAAACAGAAAAAGAAATCGTTTTTTTCAAGAAAATTTTATAGTTAATCCATTCAAGGAAGTGCACAGCTGTTTGTTTAGTTCGCTTAAATACAAAATGTTAGTGGTCTAAACAACCAATTTGCGAAATATTCACGAATGCGCGCACACATTAACGTAAGAAGCAAAATACTGATGGAAGATCTGACAAATTTACTGAGAAATAGATAGGGCAGCGTATTAGAGTCAAGTATGACTGTTGCGGTACAAAAATTTTAACAGATGGAAAAAAAATTGTTCCTCCAATTCCCTCACGGGTCTCATCCACGGTGTCACTTCCATCAACGATTTGTAACGGGAAAAAGCCATCAACGTTACAATTTTCAATTTGGACAAAATTTGACTCTTTTCTTTATTTCAGAGGCTTTTTTTAGCAAAGAAACTCTTAGGTAATGCCCCCAGCGTACGAGCAGCTGTAAACATTTTCTTCGGTCTAAACGAAGAACTCAAAAAATCAAACGATTGTTTGGGTGTAAATGGGTCCCGAATATGAGAGAAGCATATTTTTAGACCTTGATTCTGATTTCTCGGAAACAGAAAAATTTATGTGTGTTTTATTTCACTGAGTTTATTTTCAGAAATTTAGTGGAAGTTGGTCTCCGAAAATCTAATTGTCAAAACCTCAGCTAAAAATTTCTGTAAAGCTTAAAGAATGTTGAAAATATGTACCTGGAAGCCTAATTGCATCAAGAAAAAATTTTTTGTTGATTTTCGGAGTGAGCTTGAGGTACTTAAAAAGATTGCTCAATAGCCGGAGAATGAAAAATTTCATGTTTAATTCTCCAACAATTTTGATACAAACGTTTTTCCCTTAAATTATGGATCGTAAAAAACAAGCCGGCGTGTCTCCAAACAACTAGTTTATGCTGGAAAAAATGAACTGTATCTGGAATTAAAAATCTCGTCTCTACCCAAGTTTGTGGTAGCGATTTGGCTTTTGAAACAACAGAAAACACTTGTGAATAATCATAATCAAAAATAAAAAACCTGTTGAGAACAAAGCAAAAATTTAAGCTTAGTTCATGAACGGGTGCAAGCAATCCAAAAAGGCTGATTCAAAGTGCCTCCGATTTAAACACTTAGTAACTGCAAAACAAAATTTTTTTTTTGGTATTTTATATTCGATTTGATTAGAAGTATGTGACACCTTATTGTTAGTTTCCAAACAAAATGAAATTTTATTTCAGTCAGAGTTGTTCAAAATATGGCATTGAGAAAGTGGGACTGACCGGTAAACATGCGATATTTTTTTTGGTACTATTGGGACTGATTTTGAATTTCAATAGAAATGGGACTAATTTTTCAACTTGATACACCAAACTATTATCGCATTTTGTTTTATTATCGCATCGAATAATGAAGAAAAGTAGTGACCTTTAATAGCCAAAAAGAAAGAAACATTGACCAAAAAAAGACGTGTTGCCGGCAGTTATATCGCTTAACAAGTTTCAAGTAGCTTTCAAGTGTAACCAAATTTCTGACTTTTCCAGCGGTATTTTAGCTGGCCAATTTTGAAAAGGCAATTTTGAACAGCATGTACCTCATAATTTTTGCTGCAAGTACTAATTGTTGTTGTTTTGTTTTGTTGTTCACATATTTTTGGAAAAAAGTGGTGGAATGTTTGTGCTCGGAGTGTTTTTTTTATCCAGACATTTTAAACTAGCAGTTTTCGACAAATTTTTTTATTGTCAATCGAAAAATATTGTTATTTTGAGCTAAGTTTAAAAAAATATATATTTCACTTGTTATTTTTTTTCGTAAAGTAATGGTTTTTTTTTATTGTCAATTTGACCAATTTGGGAAAAAATAACGCCCGATATATTTTGCTCTGTTAATGCGTAAACGGAGAATTATTCAGTCTTAGAAATTGTTCCAAATTGAATTGAGGAATGCCCTTCACTATATTTAAGACTTTGCCATATGGAAAATACATAACTTTTTACAGAGCTGATTTAAAGTTACCGGACAAAACAAACAACATTTTGACTTCAAACGCAATTTTTTGAATGTTTTAAATATTGAGGATAATTTCAAATGCTTTTAAACTTTTACCGATTTAGTTTAGCCGGACACAACGAACAAAACGTTGAATTTCATACGCGTTTACTTCAAACGATCAAACAGCAAATAGGGTTAAGACTAAATAAAAAGAGAAGAGATCAAAAATTGCTTAGAATTTCACCAGAAATTATATGGTGCAAACTTTCAGTAAGAAAATTTATAACCCATAAAAGGATCACTTTGGTTTTTTTGTTTAATCAAGAATTACACTGAAACTAGAAGTTAATTGATGAGAAAATTATAACAAAAGAAGCCCATTACACAGCCCAACAAAGTTCTAGAAAGTAAATAATTCAAAAGTTTAGCAGCAGAACAATTGAGAATTGCTTTTAGCTAAAGGTTTTGATTGTTAGATAGCAAAAATTTGTTGGTTTTTTCCGGAAAATTTTATTCAACATTGTACTTAACAGAGCGTTTTATTATCTATCATTGATGCTAAGTTAAGCTAGTTGAAATTCAGACTGCTTCCTGAGTTTTTCATAATCAATTTGAAAGACTTTCTGCAAAAACTTGTGGTCCTATTGTATTCAGGGCGGTTTTTCTCACAGGCAGAAGTTTTTACAGGCAAAAAAAAACTTAATAGTTAAAAGTTATCAAATGCAAAAACGAGGTTTTCCAAAAAATTCAGTTCAAAATAAGAAAAAAGTTGCAGTTGTTTTGTTAGCAAGTAAAAAGTGTAGTCCTACTCTAATCAAAGCGTTTTTTAACAAAGGAAAAAACATCAAACAATTATCAAAGCATAAAAAACAAAGATCAAAGAATTATCAAAGGCAAAAATTCCATTTTGAAAAATTGCTCAAAAAACAGAATAAACAATGAAACATTTTTTCCTTTCAACTTATTCGATAATACGAATTTTGAATTCCTAACCATGAATTGTAATATCAATGAGCTCATTACAGAATCAGAGGTGCAAATATTCGAGATTTTGTTTTGGTGATTTCAATAAAAAGTTTGATACAAAAACACAAAAAGAGCAAAAATCTGTGAATTATTTCAAACAGATATTTGAAATGATCAACTTTCAGCCCTTCGTTGAACTGGGTGTTCTTTGTGGAGCTCTACTACTTGTCGATTAAATCATGGCTTCCTACTGGTCCCTATTTGTTGCTAAACTTGAGTATGACTCAGTTTTCGGTTTTTGAAAATTATACGACAAGCATTTTTATTTTTAGTTGCTAAATCCCTTGTATGCACAAAAAACTGCGCTCAAAATTTGTACAATTTGTCAATAGCGTAGTCCAGACTGTATTTTTATAAACACATGAAGCAACAGTGACTCAAATTTTGGTTTCACCAGAAAAAAATCCGTTTTTTAAAATGTTTTTTTTTAAAAGGTAGAACATGATTTAATTTATCAAAAAACAAGGTTTTAAACTGTGTCCTTATAAAATAGCCTGAATTTGTGGCCTGATCAATAACTGTTTTGCAAGATTTTTTTCTTTCTTAAAACGCTCAAGTTTTTCTCAGAACAATTTTATTTTATCTGCAATAAATTGTTTCACGAGCCTATTTTACAGAGCTCGCGTTTTGTTTATGGATTCAGCCATTCATATATAGTAAACTAACGTACACCAAAGTTCTCTTGTAATATCTATATCTTTTTCTGTTGATTGTTTTGGTTCTCATTTTCTTGCCAAGATAACTATGTTCGGAAAGTTTGGCGAGACTTGTACAATGCTGTTACTATATTGAGTTCTAAGCAAAAATTGCTCAAAATGTATTGACTGTTTTTTGTTGCGGTATGAGGTTTTTAGGGTTTGAAAAAAAGAAACAATTTTATACGAAAATCAATGCTTCAATTTTTCGCCCAAAACATTTTTTATATTGCTTTGAATTCAACTACTTCGTACGTGCTGTCACGTGATACCACAAACTGAAGAATTGCAGTGACATAATTCGGACAAAGTGGTACCATTTTGAGACATGTTTGTCAAAAGGTCTCTTTTGTCAGAAAATATAAGTAATTGCAAAAAAAAAGAAACTTGAATGAGTTTATCGAAAAATAAGTCTTAAAATCTGTATTATGAAAGCCGTTAACAGCATTATACAATGAAAAAGGTCGTAAAGAATCGAAATTTTCAGCAAAACGTTTTTTTCCAACAAATATTACAAAGATTCAACACATAACTAAGTCTTTTTAAGAGTATCGATTTTCACAAGGAAGCAACTAAAACTATGGTTTGAGATTTTAAAAATATCGACTTTTTAACACTGGTACCTGTTTGCTTACCCGCCTGTAATAATTTGTTTAAGATGATTGTAGGATCTGCTAATTGCACTAATAGATGTTTGCCCTGCACTTCTTAATCAGAATTGCATTGGCTTAACTTGAGCTTTTTCACGTATAGCAAAAATGTATTTTTTTTTCTTTTTTCTACAAATGCATTTTCTACTTGAGTTTCAAACAAGAATAAAAAAATAATACTCAATAGTTATTTTGGGAGCTAAAACGGTTTGTCAGCGTGCTGTTTAAAACCGCTAGTATCGCAATTTAAAATAAGCAAAATTTAGCAAGTTTAATTAGCACGATCCGCTGCAGCGCCTTTGTCCTAATTTTTCCACCGAAATGTTTTCCCATAAGATGACAAATAGAAGCTAAGAATATTTTGCCTTAATTCCTTAGGCGAAGATTTTTCCGTTGTTTTCCTTATTTCTCGTTTCGTGCCAATCCTGTGGGACATCCGAAAAACAATGTAGAATAAAATAACCCACTTCATTTTTTCTAATCCAATCGAAGATATTTCAAGCAACCAAATTTATCTTTCGCTGCTTTTTTTTAGCAAATAGAACATTTTTTTTCAAATTTTAACTCCCTTTTTAGTTGATCTTGTTGCATGTTTTATCCTCGAGCGAACTTAATCTGAGATTAGCTTGTCGTAACAGACAAGTATTGATTTGAATGAATTAAAGGTGTCTGCTTTGAAGATTATTTTCTAATTATAATATCGTTTTTGAATCAGATAATCCCAACTTAAGGTAAGTGCAGCTTGCATATATTCCTGAACAAAAAATAGGCAAGAAAATTGATGTTGGTGTATATGACCATTTTTTAAATATACCTGCATTGAATTTAAAAAGCTCCGAAAATCTAAACAAATATTTAAAACAAAGAATAAGTCAAAACAACACTTCCAAGGTAAAGCAGAGCTAAAAATTAAATACGGTCCAACATCGCCAAAATTGATTATTTCAAGATACTGCAATATTCTGGTTTTAGCTGTATAAAAAACTAAGGATTTGAGAAATTTTGAAATTTTTGCGGATTTTTTTCAAAGGTCGATCAATTCGAAATTTCTATAAGGAACTTATTTTGTCAAACATTTTTTGCTCGGGCAAATTTTTCAAAAACAGGCCAAAAAAGGCGTTTTTAGGCACTTTTTAGAAAAATGCGATGCTCTTCCCTCAAAATTTGTTAGAATGGCGCATTTAGAAAAAATTTGAGGTTGCTCAGCCAAAAATGGATGTCGTAAAGTTATACCAAAGAGGGAAATGAAACCTTAAGAAAAATTTCGCAACCAGAACTGATGGAAGAGCAATCATCAACATTTGGCCTCACAGATTTTCCCCCAAAACCAATGCAGCTGTGAAATTTTATGAAAAACTTTATTAGGTTTTGAGCTTTTGAAACTGTTGAAAACCCAAACAAAATTCACGCTTCAAGACTTCTTGGATCAAAATGAACAGAAGTTTCAACTCATTGCTGGAAATTTATTGAAGAAAAGTAGCCGTGGAAAATAGCAAGACTAGCAATTTTACCAATAATGGAACTGCATGGTTACCTTTTTTGTTCATTAGTGGATTTTTTAGCATATTTTTTATTTTAAAAAAAAACACATTTTTTGAATTCTGCTCTATTTTTTTTGAGTTTGTTCCAAAACACAATAATCAGTTTTTTTTTCGTTTAAGAAACATAGAAGTTATTGGGCGATAATTTCAAAATATCTTGAACTTGAAGATTAGCACCGTTGAGTACCGCGTTCTACACAAAAATAGAGCAACCAACATTTGATTTATGTTTGGAATTTTTCTTTTTCTTTTTCAGCGGTTGAAAATTTCAAAAAGGATGTTTACTAATCTAAGTTTACCATTGGATGGATCTAAGATTCAAGTTCAGCATAAGATTATCACATCTAAATGTCGCAATTCTTAATTCATCCGCTTTTTTGAATTTGTCATGCTTATTTTCTTTTCCCGTAAAATGATTGTTTGAGCGCAGGAAATTTTTTTGCGATGAAAACAGATAGGTTGTCACGAAAAAATGCTTGTAATACAATGATCGTAAAAAAGTTTGCATAAGGAATTTTTTGAAAAAATGTTGCAGATATTTCTCTAAAATGCAACTTGGATAATTTTGATTTTGCTTTATGAAATCATGATAGTTTGATTTATACATTTCATGGCAACCAAAATAGTGGCGAGTAAAAACATTCAAAATTGATGAATAACTGATACCTGCTATCAAAACAGATCAACTCGACACCATTCTAACCCTTATGTTTAATTTTTTAATCCCCAGCTCTCAGTTTTCAGGAGCTAAAAAATTTAACACCAAAAACAGCTACACGAACTTGAGTTTTATGGAAAACTCAAGTTTGTGTATTAATTATATTGGCACAAAACTTAACCCATATAACCAAAAATCCATTATACTCCGGTATAATCTATTATAATCCATTTTTTATTACAAAACAATCATTTTCTTTTGTTCATGAAACCCGCAAAAATAAATTATTTTTTGCAATTTTTTTTTGCAAATATGATGTTTACGCTTTCATTGCATTTTCACCCTCACCGTCCCCCAACTTTCACGCCCCTAACGCCCCTTCCACACCCCCAATACACTTTCCAACCCACCCCCTCTCCAGCACCACACCCTCTCCACACCCGCACCCCTTTCCTGATCTCCCCCTCACGTTTTTTGTATATACCATCCCTCCCACAAATTTTAGCCTCCTCTCACAGGTGGGATTTTGCTTAACGTGAAAAAGGGGTGAGCTAAGGGGGGGGGATAAAATCTTGAGGGCTAGCAAAATGGCGGTTAAAAATAACTAACCTTTATTTTGATTATTTGAACGCGATTGCTTGAATCAGAATGAAACCGAAAATAGTGAAAATACTTGTTGCAACACTTTGTGTTTTGTAAAGTTTATCGAATTGGAATCAATGAATTTTATCGAAATATAACACCGAAAATAACATCGAGGTTTCAAAATTTTTATTCTTGGTCTAATTTTGAAGTAAACTTCGAGCGAACCTGTTAAGACCTGGTTGTCAAATTTAAAAAATTAATTGGTTGTCCTGAATACAAAAAAGTAGATTTTTTTTCATTTTGCTGGATTATGAATTTTTTCAAATTTTAAAAACGCTTTTCTGTATGGAATGTTTATGTAAACCCTGATAAAAGCATGATTAATTAAAATTTTTGAAAACTTTTGCCAAAATTTAAAATGTTGATACTTTTATTATATCATTTGGGAAGACAAATATAAGACAATTCAGGTCTTTTCCCATGCATTAGAAGTGCAAGGCTGTCCAACTTTCGACGATTTTAGGTGATTTGAGTAAAACAAAATTTTTGTTACTTGTGTTCGGTCACAAACACAATCAAAAAAATATTGAGAAGAATTTAAATTAAACAAAAACCAAATTTTTTGATTTTTTGGAAAAACTAGTCAAACAATTTCAATTTACGAAAATCGCTAACCATGGACTTTTCTTTCAATTTTATTTACCTTTGGACCTGCATGATTAGCATTTATGTGTAAAGTTTAAACGATATTCGAAAATTTCAACCCAATCTGTTTTCTTCTTTCACATAACATATAATTTTTCAAGTGGCATTCATCATTAAATATTGACTTCAGTTTGCTATGCTCTCTGACGACAAATTAATGTGGAACGCGAACCGTCAAGGATGAATTTTAATTCATTTACAACTAATTCTACCCTAACAGTTTTATTTTTAAAAAATATGCATTCTACAAGTTTCAGCTATTTTCTATTTTTTGTTTCAGACGTTGCTAGGTCGCTTTTTTCCTCCAATCAAATCTCTCTTTGACAAAACATATCGCATCCTGTCTATTGACATCTTGTCTGTTCAGTCATGAAGTTCCTCTCTAGTCTCACAAATGGGCTGAAGGAGGCAGTGGGCATCGAGAAAAAGTGGGAGTGGGGAGACGAAGAAAGGGAGGAATCAACCCACATTTACCCATCCCCCCACCCATCCCCCCACAATAGTGAAAAATTTTAGAAAGGAAAGCTACAGAAAAATGACTTTTAGAGAGCTAAACAAAATTTAATTTGAAAACACTTTCATTTCAATTAGCTTGCTCAATTTTTTCTCCAGTGTGCTCACATTTTTAATCTGTTTTGACCCTAATTTTGAATGATTTTTACTCTCTTTTTATCAATACACTGTGGTCTCACCATTTCTGAATGGTATGCCCCTTTTTTGTAAAGGGTTGAATGAGATCAATAATAGCTGTGACTGATTATCTTAAAAAAGGAAATGCGTGTCGAAAATGTTTTGCTTGGAGGGGGGAGGGAGGGGGATTGTAAAGCTGAGTTGATCCTAGAGAGTGGTTCCACACTTTCGAGTCAGAGCTGTCTCACTTCAAAACCAAGATAGAGAAGACAGCTGAGCCATACTACAAGGACCAGATGATGACCCCACTCATCAGCAGAAGCGACTTCGTTGAGCTGTGCAGGTTAGCTGGGCATCACTTTTCCAGCATTACTCTTATCCTCCCCAATCCCCATTACTATTTTTGCTCATCTGCTGAACTTTCCTGACATAATTTGCCCTAAAAGTGTCGTGGGTTCGCCTTGAGTGTCAATCAATTGATGGCGAAATTATGCCGTGGGCTAAAAAGAGAAGTCTATTTTGTTTTGAATCTCCATGAAAAACTTTGGGGAAAATTGAGGTTTTGGGCGGAATCAGAAATAAAAGCAGAGATAGACGCACTAAATTTATAAAAAGTAACTTAGAACAAGTCAGAATTTGGAAATGGAATTGGAAGTAATAGGTCAGAAAAGGTAATCAATCAGGAGAAGTGAGATCTCTTAACCCTTTAATCACTTCTTCAGAACTACCCATTTTGGTCTTGATGAGAAAAGCTGGGAATTGGAAAACAAGAAGAAACAAAATGGTCTTTTTCCAATTAACTAGAAGTAGCGAAAAATGAAGATGAACAGACCCGTTGAATTTAGAAAAATGGGGAGAGCAGACAATGGCGAAGAGTCCCCGGGTTGACGTCCGTATAAGAAAAATGCTTATCGTACGATTTCATATATGGCGACTATGGAAAAAATGTGTATAACACAATTTTCATACAAAATTTAAAAACTGTATTAAAGGTTTTTAAAGAAATATTTATGTTCTATTTGCCTCATCTGAATCTTTCTGGTCAATAAAAAAGTGATTTTTTTTTGACAAAAAAAAAAAACTTTTATCTTACAATTTCATTGTATGAAAAAATGCTTATCATACAATTTTATTGTATAAAAAATGGTATTCATGCTAATTTCTTCCAATTTTTTTTGTTAAAAATTGTATTATTTAAAACTTATTATTTAATTCCAGACCATGTAAAAAATGCCTATCATAATATTTCATAGTATGGAATAAATGTTTATCATGCTATTTTCATAGTATTTTTTTGGTCTATGAAATAATATGAAATAGTAGGATAAGCATTTTTTGTCAACCCGGGTCTGTTATACGGTCATTATGGAGGGACCGGCATATTAGCATGCGTGCCGATTAGCTTGCCGCAATTAATTTCACAAGCATTTTATAAATTTTGTTGTGCCATAAGCCGCTGTAACCAAAAAAAAAACGAAGCAATAAAAATGGTTTCTTTCTAATCCATCCGACTTGTATCGATCACTGACCGCCGCATAGAGAGCTGCTGTAACTTATAACCCTAACTAAAAATTCGGTTTATTCCTACATCGGCTTATCGCAATGCACCTCTCGCTATGTGATGTGCCAATAACGCATTTAAACTCACCAATGCCGCGTTTGAAGTCAAATGCGGCATTGAAAAATATCATAGACGAAGTACTCCAACCGCGCATGTTAATCGGATCAAATGCAAATCTCTAAAACCCTGCAATAATTGTGCTAAAGGTCTGCTTTTGACCTAAACTAGAAATCGGATAACGTAAAGTCCGGAAATGTCGCTTTTTGTTTGCAACAGTAGTGAAAATACTTGCGATGTTCTTAAAACTCGTCGCAATGTGGTCTAAAAATTAGTCGCGACATAATCTTAAAATTTGCGGCAATTCAGTCTAATATTTAGCCGCGATAAATTATAGAAATTTTTGCAGTCATAGTTTTATTTTTTTATTTTGCTAATGTCGGATTATTTTTTGCAAGAGCGTAAAACAGCTGCAATTAGACAAGAAAACCAATACAAGACTGCTCGTATCAGGGCGAAGCCCTGAATTTTCCGACTGCCTTTTAAAGCATATGAAGCAAAAGTAACATTTAATAATTGAACGTAAAAAATGAAAAAAATTTTGGCTAAAATCAAAGTATTTTTTAATTGATAAAATAAAAGTTGACTCTTACCATTTTGATAGCTTTTAGGACGTTCAAATGGAGCCAAATAGAGTTCTTTGTTTAAGGTAAAAAGGTGTTTTTAGCAAACTGATTAATTAAAAGAGTTTACTTCTGATACAAATATTGCGTATCGAAACCCTAAACTTACGAAGAGAAATTTTTTTTTTTTTAGAAAACTTGAAATTAATTAAAAATTCATATGAAATATGATCAAAGTCAGAGACTCTTTTTTCCCTTACACGATACCGAAGTCGGTTATAATTCCTCGGCAGAGTTCATTTTCCCTCAGTTTCTTTGAAAACTTTAAATTTCGGTTTCATTTATGATGAAAATTCGAATAAGTTTTCCGGAGACTTGTTTCTAAAACTTAAATTAGATTTTCAGGACAACAATACTTTTTGAATGATAAAAAAAAATTCCGTCAAAAATGGCTAGTTAAAAAGTCGAAGTTTGTCTGAAGAAAGAAAAAACACTCCCCGAGCACAAATATTCCGTTACTTTCGTATCGAAAGTCGGAACAATAAACGAACTTTTAAGGTGTAGTTAGGCGGACCAGCATAATATATACGCAACTGCCACGAGAATGCCTGCACATGGTCACAACATCAGCTCTATGTTTTTTTTTCGGAGCAAAAGGGCTTTAAGAAATTTCTTTATCAAGCTCGGTCGATTTTTTTTTCAATCGAACACAGTTCAAATGTTTTTTTTTCTCGATCGAACACAGTTGGAGTGTTTTTTTCCTCTATCAAACCCAACCGATTTATTTGTTATTTGTCAAAATTTGTTTCTGTCAAAAAATCCTCGATCGGTGGAACTCAGCCTAAACGTTTTTCGTTGGTCGAACTTGGTCAAATTAATCTAGTCAAAAAATAGATATGTGTGATAGAGATGGTCGGGACAAAAATCGCAAACTTCTCGACCCTGGGTGGTTAACTTTCTTTGAGCCGCGGTTAACTTTCTTTCGGTTGCGCGGTGGCGGTTCAATTTGGCATCATTGTCTTGGTCCACAAAACCTGGAAATTCAGCATTTCGATTGCGGTGGTATGAAAATAGCCAATTTTACTAGCGGCGGTCCGCAAGTCTCAAATTTTGTTCGCGATGTCTAACCATAAAACCAGAATCTCAGCTCAGGTATCATTAAAAATATTGAAGCAAAATGCTTGCATCAGCGCAAAGCCCTGAAATATATAACTGTTTTTTTTTGTAAGGAATCTAAGGTACGTTTTGATGACTTTCGATGCTTTGTTTGTAATTTTACCACGCTTCCAATGACTATTCGGAGTGACAATTTTCGCATTGTTTGGAATTAATTATTGACAAAAATAATACCAGAATCAGATAGGAGGCGTATGAATTCTTGACGCTTATAAAAACTGGATGCTTTTTCGTTATCATTTTGTAACTGATGTTTTTAGATTGATACTTTTAGAATCCAACTCGACTTCAAAAAAAAACAATCATAATTTTTTTTAAAAATAAATGCTCATGACGTCAATAATGTCGTTCAATTGGTTCAAAAATATGTCAAAAAAACTTGAATAAAAATCAAAATTTGGTCTAAAAAGCACGCGAGTATGAATAAATTGTCAATTTCATCAAAAATTGGAAGAATATACATTTTGTTTCCTAATTTCAGAAACAATTAATACCTCTCAAGTTTTAGGGATCATAACTGATAATAAAAAGACCCTTCAAGTTTTGAAATTCCGCAGTTAAAATAAAAATTTATTTGCGAATCATTTTATAAAGTAATGGTGGGGAGAAAATAAACAAGGTAGCTGAAAAAGAATAGACGGCACATATTTATTGATCAACAAGGTGTCTTTAACTGTATTTTCAGCCACTAAATCTGCTGAACAAGCTGCAATTGAAGCAGTTAGTAAACAGTTTTCCTTGAAGTTTGTTTTTAGCATACGCCAATTTTCATTTCTCCTGATAGCTCAGAAAGAAACTAAGTTTCAGCCGAGATACTTAATTGTTTTAAAAACTTCATAAGTTTTAGCCGAGATACTTAATTGTTTTAAAAACTTCATAAGTTTTAGCCGAGATACTTAATTGTTTTAAAAATTTCATATGTTTTAGCCGAGATACTTAATTGTTTTAAAAATTTCATATTTTAAGCCGAGATACTTATTTGTTTTAAAAACTTCATAAGTTTTAGCCGAGATACTTATTTGTTTTAAAAACTTCATAAGTTTTAGCCGAGATACTTAATTGTTTTAAAAATTTCATAAGTTTTAGCCGAGATACTTAATTGTTTTAAAAACTTCATATTTTAAGCCGAGATACTTATTTGTTTTAAAAACTTCATAAGTTTTAGCCGAGATACTTATTTGTTTTAAAAACTTCATAAGTTTTAGCCGAGATACTTAAATGTTTTAAAAATTTCATAAGTTTTAGCCGAGATACTTAATTGTTTTAAAAACTTCATAAGTTTTAGCCGAGATACTTAATTGTTTTAAAAACTTCATAAGTTTTAGCCGAGATACTTAATTGTTTTAAAAACTTCATAAGTTTTAGCCGAAATACTTAATTGTTTTAAAAACTTCATAAGTTTTAGCCGAGATACTTAATTGTTTTAAAAACTTCATAAGTTTTAGCCGAGATACTTAATTGTTTTAAAAACTTCATAAGTTTTAGCCGAGATACTTAATTGTTTTAAAAACTTCATAAGTTTTAGCCGAGATACTTAATTGTTTTAAAAACTTCATAAGTTTTAGCCGAGATACTTAATTGTTTTAAAAACTTCATAAGTTTTAGCCGAGATACTTAATTGTTTTAAAAACTTCATAAGTTTTAGCCGAGATACTTAATTGTTTTAAAAACTTCATAAGTTTTAGCCGAGATACTTAATTGTTTTAAAAACTTCATAAGTTTTAGCCGAGATACTTAATTGTTTTAAAAACTTCATAAGTTTTAGCCGAGATACTTAATTGTTTTAAAAACTTCATAAGTTTTAGCCGAGATACTTAATTGTTTTAAAAACTTCATAAGTTTTAGCCGAGATACTTAATTGTTTTAAAAATTTCATAAGTTTTAGCCGAGTTACTTAATTGTTTTAAAAACTTCTTAAGTTTTAGCCGAGATACTTAATTGTTTTAAAAACTTCATAAGTTTTAGCCGAGATACCTAATTGTTTTA